TACAGGGGAACGAGATAACAAATTTTAGCCGATTGTCACATATTTTGTAGGTTGTACCAGGAAACCAAACATACTTAATTATTGTAGCTTGCTTGAGCACTCTACTTTAAATCTTAAAGCATCGGACCTTCTCTATATATCTATATCTATCTATCTATCTATCTATCTATCTATCTATCTATCTATCTATCTATCTATCTATCTATCTATCTATCTATATATATATATATATATATATATATATATATATATATATATATATACATACACTGTCAGTGTGTTCTGCTTCCTTCACCCACGACGGGAATGTAAGCGTCATATTCGGCCAAATTAGCCTGGTATATCTGGTACTGACGTTGGTTCACATGAATGTACCAGTTCGTTTCACCGTCAGGCCGCTTCCCCCAGTGTCACTAGACCAAGAACCACCCTTCTGCCGCAAATAGGGCTTTCACTAACTCGAAGGGTTAGGGTATACAATAATGATCCCCGATAACAAGACAATGAAGGACAGAAATGTTAATTTGACCAGGTAATAAAACCACTTAAATGGCCGCACCCCCGTATTGTACGGGACCGACGCGTATAGCCGGTGCCGAAGTGATTTGTGGGATAATATTTGGCCAAGTGTCACATCTTGTCTAGGTTTGTGGTAAATAAATCCAAGGTCGTGTTCTTTTGACCGTGGTGCATTGAATTTCCAATGTCAGTTCCGGGGTTACCGTATGCTACCCTATATATATATATACTACTGTTGTCGCAACGTTGCACTATGGTAGTATTGTATCACTTTGTTCCAACCGAAGACATTAAATGTAAACGGCCATTGTTTCAACCAATTTTTCTTTCCTCACACACAGATATGTTAAATTTGAGCGGGACAGCAACGAATTACTTGTACGTGGAATTAAAGCTCCTGGTCCTGCTCTTGAAAAAGGCCATGCATACCCCCGTTCAGTAAGCTAAACCGGTTGAGTCTTATAACTAAAAAAAAAAACGAGGCTGAGACTTTCCGTTATACTGAAATGTATTTAGAACAGGCAAGTTGACTGATGATAACTTCTTACACCGTACAAAACGTACATCCAGGAGAAACGCATAAATATTTCCAATAAATAAAACATCACTAGTGGAGGACGCGAACGCCTCGTACCCTACCAACTAAACATGAACGTTTTTATGTACAAAAACAGGAGATTCCAACATGAAGTTGTCTGAGTGCACAGTCTTCCAGAAAGAACCAAAACAGGGAAACAAACTTGTATGTGTAGTAGTATAACACAAATGTTAAACAGCACACATGATTAAGTCTAGTTCTAGACACAGGTTCAATGTAATCTAATGTTTCTGAAGACCATGTATGTGGATATAATATCTCTTCAATATGCAAGTAGAAAGTTTTGAGCTGCAGTTCTGTCATCAGCTGACAGGGGTCTCTTCCAACACACCTGCTGTCTTAGCAGCCTTCTGATTGGTGCAGCTTGTGGTGTTCTATTTTGCCTTATTTGGTATGACTGAAACTGTAAATTGTGCTGTAAACTCTCACTGGAAGACAGTTACACACAGACAAACTTCTCACACAAAAGTGGCATGAAAACAGCAAAAGAACAGGATGATAGCAGCTCCAGAATAACACGAGTCAAATTTTGGTACGTTTAAAACACAGCCGACATACTTGCCAGCCCTTGTATAATGTATAATATAACAGTTGTACGTTTTAAAGTTTATATTCCACTATGCCTCTTCCTGCAGTTAGACTACATGCTCACATTCATATCTGACTAGAATATCTGTATAAAATTTCTTCTTTTTTTTTTTCAAGACCTCCCTTGCACTATGCTAACGTTATACGAAAACCTGATATGCAAATGTCTAACATTGCTGCTAGGGTTTCCCCCCTCTAAGCTTATCTATGCTGACAGAAAGTCTTTTTTGTTACCTGGCAACTTTGTTACATCAAAGTCTGTCTCCTCGCAAACTTTCAAAGCAACTGAACTCAACTCTTTAGACTAAGTTTTAATGATTGCCAGTACAATTCCTTGGTTATTGGGATAAGACAAAACAAAAAGGTCCTGACGAAATCTTGCCAAATGAGTAGGACATGTGCAGCTTTTGCTTTCTTCTTGTTTAACAAACTTTGACTGACTAGGATGAAAAATGAGGAATTGTACTGACACATCCTGCACTAGCTCGTGACAGGAGAAAGAACAGTACATTCTGGTTACAGTCTTGTGATAGTAGTACACGTACACAACGTTGCACAGACAAGCTAGGTCAGAATTCAACTACAGTCAACTGTCAACAGTCTGTTGTAAAACAAATGAAGACAACAAAAGGTCTAGCTGCATCATTTTCTCTGCCCTTGTCGTCCATTTTCCCCAGAATTGCACTTATGATCATTTGAACAGAGAATCAGCGGTGCGAGCACATGACTGCTGTGACATTTGACACATCACCTTTGACACCTGACCTCTACACACGTTCACTGGGTCATGGACAAGAAAATTGCTGCTTACACAAATGAAGGAGTGAAATAGATTGCTGCTAAAACAGGTGGTTGATTTAAGATGTAATTAAGTTTTTAACAGTAAGGGGGGCCAAGGAGGTATCCTTGTGGTACACACTAGTATGTTGGTTCCCGACATAACAATTTCAGGAGTTTTGAAGGGTCCAAAAAAGCATAGGAAGTAACATTGCACCATGTCAGCAGCATGGGTGTACTGGACAACACAAAGAGCATGCACCTTGTCTTTGCAGTAAAGTCTAGACTACCTAAAACTCTAGAAAAACTCAAACTGGACCGCGCTGCTGGCTAAGATACGACAACAGTTGACATGTACGTGCCCTGAAGAAGAGTGTCACAAGCCAAGAAAATGCACAAATCGGTTTCAAACTCTCCAGGGTCGGCATGCAAACCACAAACAACTCCAGTGTTCAGACACAGCTACAGTAAATATAATATAGCCTTCCTTCATCTTATCAAGCAACACAAAATTCATTTTGATGAGTAGCATCTTCTTGAAGATCCCAAATAAGAATTTCAAACAAAACAAATTTGTTTTTTTTTAGGGGATGGGGTGTTTTACCACATGAAAGCATTTTTTTACGACAGTTTCATATTCTCTCATTTTGCGTTAGTCCAAGAAGCCTTTCTGACTTGCATGAACTTACTAGTTTTAATGAAAACACAATGCCATTGCTCTTTCAATTGCTTATTTGGGATACAACCTGAAATTGATGAAATAAATTTGGTGTGGCTTTACATTTGAAAACTCAACTGTTACAATACTACGTAGTAGTCATACCAAATAGAATTCTCTTTGCAAATTCACAGCGTTCTCAGGAGCATACACTGACTAGAATCCTCCTTTGACAAGTTATATATATTAAGAAAAGCTAAAAACCTCTTTTTTATATTACACGGCTGCGTTGAAACGTGGTACAGATTTCGCAGGTAACTCTACACGTATGCTCAGTTCGTAACATCCCATATCCACACAGAATAACTTCAGAGTATCTTATTACAAAGCAGAATCTCTTATTACAAAGTGCGCAGATCATATTACACTAAGGAGTAGCTACAGAATACGAATTATCAACATTCTTCCCAATTTTCCTTCCTTCAATCGATAGAATCCTAAAAGTTGCCATGACACGCTTTGAAAAAGATTGCCCTGTTCTCATACATGTATGTTTCCAGTAACCTTCTTCCTGCTGCAGTAGCCTTTCAGCACTGAGTCTGCCTTCGTTGTAGGGTTATGCAGCAAGAAGAGGGTTAAGTAATGTTGCCACATTCCTGTAGTATCCTACGCTCCCTCTATATTGGACTAAAACAGAGATAGGAAAGCCTCTACCCTCTAAACCTGTGGTAATTTCTAGGACACGCCTGCAGAAAGACAACACTGAATGCCATAGATTTTGTTACACAGGGTTGCATGTTGGGGCCATTGTACACTGCAGCCCTATGAGAGACGCTCTACCGCCCCCCACGAGACCAGGATATTGACACTTCTACGTTTTTTTTACATCCTTGTCAGCTATAAGTCCAGGGACAGGGCCGAACATATCCATTTGTCCTTCTTTGCTCCATCTCTGAACTCTTCCTTGCTAATCAGCCCATCCTTGTTCTGCAGTGGAAGGACAGAGGACAGAGACACGAAAAGGGTCAGTGGGAGCAGCCTGCACCTGAAACAACTGCACCTGAAACAACCACACCTGAAACACCTGCCCTAACCAGGCAGTTGGTAAAAATCAGACTTAGAGCCAGGTACCTGCCCTGGCAAGGCAGGTGGATGGCTCGCATCTGATTTTTCAGGTGCCTGTTGTTTTTGAGGTGCCTGATGTCACAGTAGTGCCTATCCACCCAGGTGATGTGCATTTTCAGGATTTTCAAAATTGTAAATCTTGAAACTTTCGCAGTGGTTTTAATCTTGCATTTTTCACTGTGAATTTTTGACTGCAACTACCGGTATGCATTTCCAAAGAATTAACTACAAAATTGTTTCAACTGCGGATCTTAAACACTACAAAAATTGCCTAGTGACTTGTACTGCTAAATAAAACCACTGCAAAAGTAACTTGATGTACAGTATCCAGGGGACCCCATCATGCCAAAGGTGAATCAGTGGAGCATCCTTAAGTTTGGTGTGCATCGATTGTCATCATGCTGAAACAGGCCTTTCAGTCGTCCATCTAAGGTTCTGTCCACATGCGCCCCAGGCAGCACACTATAACTATACCCAGCACTTCGGGGGAACGTACTGCGTCTGCGCAAAACCCGTAATTTATTGCGCAAAGCATTTAGGCAGAATGTCTTGTTTAAGGTCATATTGGTGTATATCAGGATGACATCCGGTCTGTAGTTTTCAAATTGTGTGTCGGAAAATATATCATCTACAACGGGGAAAATTCTGATGCAACGTTGACGAAACATCCAACAAAAAACCATGAAAATGTGGGTTTTGCACAGGTGCAGCACGTTCTGCTGATGTGCTACAATACCCTACGATCATGGACTCTTTCTCTCTCTTTTTGTTACAATGTCAGGTATTCACAGTAAATACATCGATTCTACCGCATCGTTGCACAATTACAAGCCTTCCCAGCCAATTTGCCCTGTGATTCGAACCTGCAAAAAGCATCACAGTCGTTCGTTCACATTTGTCAAAAGATGAAGAAGAAAAAAAAGACATTTTTTGAAGCCATGTCTGTCTGTGGTGTAAGAATCCATCATCAGAGAGTAACCGGAATTGTTTTTTTTTGCCATGACAATGTATTTGCATCCCCAATCGATGGAAAAGGCTGCCAAAATGACATATTGTACAGTTGCTTTTTTTGGAAGGTTACATGGAAAAGACATGTAGAAACGTGGCTGCAACTACGGTCTACACATATAGCGAATATGACGTCACAAATTCTTTACGCGCAACGTACAACACCAAATAAGGCCACTTTTGCCATGGTAGAAGAAGGGGGGTAGTGGGAGGGCCACAACGAAGGGTTGTTTGGGGTGGGAGAGAGAGTAGGAGGGCTTGCGCTGAAAAGAAATTGAATTGCACCGAACCGAGAGTTCATTTTCCTTTAAGTTCTGCTTCATAAAAAGTATCTGCCCCTACAGCAGCAACCTTTTGCACGAGTTTGGGAGACTGGAGCCATGCCCAGCAAGTGGTGACAGAAGCACAGCTGGGTTAAAGCCGGCACAGAGGCTCCCAGCTCTAGTGGGGTTGGGGTGTTTAACACTTAAGTCATGTCTTGACATGCATGTGGTGGGTGGGGCACCCTACTAGCTAGCCTGGCTGTTACCCTAATAAGGCTATAAGGCTTAAACCATGGAATTAGAAAATACTCTATGCTTAAACCAATTTAACCTTTTGGTACTTGTACTTGACATGACAATGTAGATGTAAAAGATGGCAACGTAAAAACAGATTCTAGGGGCAAAGTTTGGAACCTGAGATTCAACATCTTTGTCCACTTCTAGGCTTTCATGCTAGCTCTTCTCTTGCTAGATTTTTAGTTTAAATGTCTGAGAACCTAGCCTGGGTACCATCTGGATTTTGCTCCTCTACGTTAAAAAATTCATAATTTTTTCGAGCATAGCAGAGCAAAATCCACAATAATCTGATGGTACGTAGGCTACTGAGAACCATGGAGATAATAAATTGGGCCTTACTGGTAGTCAAACCTATCTGTAATTCAATCAGATCAAATGAAAACCTAAGCAACCAGGCTAGCTAGCCTTACATGCACAACTGTGTTGTTGGTAGTGCGGTGAGCTGACCACAGCCAAACGAGTTAGTGATGCCAGCCACACGTGTCAGTGGTTGGAAGGGTCCACTCTGGCAGTTCCTGCATGTCATCATTGTAAAACATAGCTGGAAATGTGTTTGGATTAAAGCTTTTATGGGGGTCATCAGCAGATAAACATTTATGTTATGATATTTAAGAATGTTGTTGAAATGAAACTGGGCAATTGCATTTAGTTGTGAGGAGGCAGTATTATACTTTGGTATAAATTTCATTGCCTGATTTTTCTTGTAAAAATTTCAATAGGTGATAACTGTAAGTTGTAAATTTTGCTGAGGCAAAGGGTCTGTAAGGGGTTTTCCAGCACCAGCCATGTTTGTGAATGACAGCGAGGACTTGAAAGGGGAATCCCAGTATACCATGTGTAACGCTCTCACAATGGAAACTTGAACACACAGACATCATTGCTCCATTTCTATAGCCAGAGCCTGGACAATCCAGGCGTCCTTCTTCGACCCAGAGATAAACTCCGAACGGCTCAACTTTCCGTCCTTATTCTGAAACAAACAACGTTCAAGAATTCGCAGATGGTTTGTCATTACAATAATTGAGCTTTCTGACTGGTTACGATATGAATTAATAATAATGATGAAGCATAAAAGACTCCTTTGGGCTTAACTATCTGTCCTTTCTCTCTGGAAAGCAAAGGTTCTAAAAGTTTACAGGTCAAAGTTCACATCAGACCCTGAAGCCTTCTGATTGGTCACTGTACCACAAGAAGGGAAGCTGAAAGACTCTTTCTCATTGGTCGCCATCTCATTGTATGATGGAAAACTGATAGACTCTTTCTCATTGGTCAGCAACCATTTTGTGATGGGAAAGTGACAGGCTCTGATTGGTCACCATCCCACTGCATGATGGGAAGGTGACAGACCCTGCAGCTTGCTGATTGGTCACTGTACCACTGCATGATGGGAAAGTGATAAACCTAGAGCCCTCCGATTGGTCAATTTCCCAACCTCTTGCTAAAACCTCTACTGAAAGGCGGTTTATATAATTCTCTGTAATACAATATACACGTAAAGCTGGGTACTATTTCTTTAGATAAAAAAAGAAATGAACATCATCTCTCGTATTACAGGATCTGTACAGGTTAAAGATATGGTTGCACAACGTGGGATCACTGCGGGATCTCCAGCGACAAGGCCTGGACGATCCAGGGATCGCACTTGGATCCCTCCCTGAACTCCTCCTTGGTGAGCTTGCCGTCCTTGTTCTGTGGGAGGAAAGAGAAGGATTGAACAAAAACGTGCACACCGCTGGTGTTAGTGTTTAGCTGCATGTGAAATACAGGCTTTATGTTACTAAGTTACATTCACCAGAAATGCACCCAAGGACCAAAAAATGGGACGTGCACAATAAATGTCATGTACTCGTTGTAATTCAAAGTTGTGGTTATATTATGACAGAAATTAGAAAAATGGTTTGCAAACTCCTTTTACAAATCTTACTAGGATTTTGCATGCCATGCTGTGAAAGATGGCTTACAAGCATCATACATGACATTGTGGTACATGTATATGCAATATCTAGATGCAAACAGATATTAGAGAAATGTGTAACCTTTAACAATCAATATCATAGTCTAGACAGAAAGGTGAAGAAATGAAAAAAAGAAAATGTGAGAACGTTTTAAAGTGAACACACCAAGAGCACACAGCTTTAGACAAGGAAAGTTTGGTGACAGGAGAGGGTTAAGAAGTAGCTTTTGAAGTTGCAAAGGTGATGAGAAGTTTAGTGAGTAGGATTTTTCATTCTGGGTCATATTTAAAACAGCAATTTCAGTAGAAATGGAGCGATGTGCACTTTTTTCTAAATACCATGATTATTAGATGAACCTCTCTTTGAAAAACTGTAAATATGAAAGAAAAAACTTTTTTGGAAAAAGTAAGAAGTTAAATAAGAAAAAGTCCTGTGAGAAAGTTGGAAAACAGATCAAATGAATGGAGAAAAAAGATGGAAGGAACCTTTTTTCTGACCTGAAATATCTAAACAAAGGGGTTTAAAGAATATAAACAGATACAGCAAGAAACAAGAATACAACATACAGTCAAACATCAAGGGAAGGATGAACAGTTTGGTAACAAAACAGAATTCTAATAAAAGAAACACAACATGAAAACAGTAAAAAAACTTTGATCAGAAGACAACAAAAAAATTGCAGAAATTCCAAAATTTGAACTCATTTTTCAATTAGTTTATTTTGGGGATAGAATGCTGGCAAAGAAGAAAATAACAGATTCTGAAATGCACATTATCACACAGAAAACAACATCAGTTAACACAAAAGACCATATAGTAAAAGGATCAGATTCATGAAAACATACATGTAATACTACATGTATCACATCTAAATGCAACAGGGAACAGGAATATAAACACTTTTATTAAAAGTACAAACAACTGACAGTCACTACAGAGTAGAATAACACAGCTGAGTACAAAAATCACTTTTCAAGATGCAAATGCAGACTGAGACTTAATATATATATGCGTACATGTAACATTAGACATATTAATTAATTCAAGAAGTTTTCAATAACTTTTCCACATGCTGTCAAAGAATATGCAGAACTACAGTAGGTGCTATCCATCCTATTCCTACTAGCTCTCAGGTGAGGGAAACTAGAGCTAGGAAAGGATGGAGACCAGGGACTAAAGACTGAGGAACCACAACTACGAACTCGAGAAATTGAGCAAGGAGTGATACGGACCTTATCCATCTGTGCGAAGATCTTATTAACTCTCTTCTCTGGCGTGTCCTCATCTGGGGGCAACTCCAGCATCGTGCCCTGTAGGGCAAAGGTCAGAGTGGACAGGTCAGAGGTCAGCAGTGGCAAATCAGAGACAGTCACAGGCAAAAGATGGTTGGATCAAAGTTAGTTTGTGGCTGCAAACAACATGCACCAGTGCTGGGGGTGAGATGTCACTGTGGAAATCTGCTTTCACTTCAACAATTTGTAAAATCTCAAAAAGATTTTACCACAAAAAGAATTGTGCCTACACATGTATCACTGACAAAAGATAATCACACTAGTTTAGGTCCAGGTCCGGACCTGTACCTAACCCTCCCTGTACATGTACTTGTACACAGCCTAATTGCTACACGGAGAAAACAACATTGCAGAAAAAACAAGCACAGGAAAATAATCAGCAGGAAGACCAACAACATTGCAGAAAAAAAAAACAGGCACTGAAAAAGAATATGCAGGACTACTACAACATTACAGAAAAAAGCAGGAACAGAAAAATAAGCAGGCAGACCAACCTCGCCAGAAAGGGAGCTACTCTGTAAGGCAAGAAGGAGACGGGGAGTTGGGGAGGAAGGAAGAGAAGCAAAAGAGACATTCACACAGAAACATGAAAAATGATGGTGTTAACAGAAAGGCCATGATAGGGTTATACATGTAGGCAACAGCAAGCAAGTTACAAGCAAGAAGTCTATACCAAATGCTTGCTACAGTATTGGGGCTATAGTATACATGTATGTCATGATTGTAGTTCAGATAGGCAACAATAAGCCACCTCATAGTGTGATGCAATGTGGTTTATATGCATAAACCTGTGGATTTGATACACAATGCATCACAATTTGCACATGCACACCTGAAACTGTAAAGTGGCTTATAGGCTACCTACATGTAATTTGTCAGAGGAGTTACATGTAGCAACACCATGCAGTGCATGAAAATAGACATAATCACACACACACACACACACACACACACACACACACACACACACACACACAAGCAAGGAATTGGAAATAGCTGAGGATATGTAAAAAAAGAACAGGGAAAAAGGAGAGAAAAATTGTATTTCAGTCACCTTTAGTTACACAAAATAACGATACAATTGAAAATTCCTCACACAATACAAAAGACATGCAGGGGTAGTGTGGTTAGTGTGTTACTAAGATACAGAAAGCTGTACTCAGTCTTCTTTCGGCCACTTTTCCTGTCTTATTGACTCTTAAAGACAATATTTGGACTCACCTTTTCCTGTAAAGGGAAACAGAATGACAGAACACAGGAATGAACAGGGAGGAAATCAACAGAACGACAGAACGTAAAATTGAACAAAGAATGACAGAACATTGATTGGAACATCACAGGTCTTGACTACATTGCAGTGCAGGAGGTTGATTTCTACTCAGAAAGTAAAAATGAAAACACCAAAGTTTACATTACACAAGACAAGAATGGGTAATATTCTTCTTACATTTTCCATCTTTGAATTTCCCTAAGTTATACCTGAAAGTCAAGATCCCAATCAGAGTCTGAAAATCTTTCTGTATTCACTGACATATCTTTTCATCTTTGATTGTCACTTTAGATGCATGGATTGACTTGAAAGTCAGATTTTATAAATAGAAGACTCCCCTAACACATTCCTAGCATCCTGATTGCAATCTCTATTGATGAAAACTCTGATTGGGCTCTCTTCAAATCTGCTCTTCTTCCAGATTGCAATCTCTACCCTGACATATACATGTGCAGTTTAACAATTATCAACATAGATATATCTACACGACTGTGCATAAAACTTACCACCATGGCATAGATGGCTTCCACGATATTCAGCATCTCCTGTTTTGTGATGTAGCCATCGTTGTCTAGATCATACAAGTTGAAAGCCCCTGGAAAAACAAACAAAGATTAAATGTTTCACCCCAAACAGGTGGTACATTTAGACTAGTCATTTCTTACTGAAAATATAATACTTCTATCTAAGCTGCTAATATGAAAGGGAACACCATTGATAGAGATTTAATATGTAATTCAATTATTTTTGCTGGGACTGAATTTCACAATTGGAGGTGAAGGAAGGTTTCCCCTGAGTTTTAAGTTCAAGGTTGGAAAAATGGAGTAATGTAATCCAGACGCATTTGCTGTGTCATATCTAATTCACAGTGAATGCAGTGAAAATATCACAGCAAACTTAGATGTACAGTGCACCACAAAGTGTAATCTTCTGCCATTGCCGGCATCATTGGCTCACCAAACTGGCCATTTGGCATCAGTAGGCAGCAAGGCATCTTACAAAGTATGGGTCCATTTTCTGCCAGTTACAGCATAGTCCTTCATTATACCTTACTTTCCATTATACCTAGCTGTGTGGGGGCTATGTTTCTCATTTTCTAGGCCTTTTCTGAGAATCTCCTATACAATGTAAACTACCAAAGGGCTTTTGGTGACAACTAACCTTACAAATTGAGGTTGAGGTGATTACAAATAAATGAATAAAAAGGACAGAAATATCTCTGAACTTTGCTTGGGTTTTGCACAATACCTCAAAGTAGAGTAAATTCCACCATAGTGCAGAGCGAGACCACCAGGGGATCTGGCTATATTCGGGAAGCTGTTTGCCAGTATGCATAAAAAAAGCTCCAATCAAGAGTGAAGCCTGCTTCAAATAATTTGAATACAGAGGCATAAACTGCAGTGTGAGACAAGGTTCTAACTAAACTGTAATATGAGACCAGTCTAAAGCTAATCAGCTGACAGAGCATTGCTGCACATGAAAGGCTCCAATCAGCCTCAAAGTCAGGTTGATTCAATGATTGTCCTTGAGTACAGAGGCAGAAACTGCAATGTGAGACAATGTTCAAACAAAACTGCCATGTGAGACTTCTAAAGGATGCTGCCTTGTAAGCTAATCAGCTGACAGGGTATTGCTGCACATGAAAAGCTCCAATCAGGCTCAAAGTCAGGTTGATTGTCCTTGAGTAAAGAGGCAGAAACTGCAATGTGAGACAATGTTCAAACAAAACTGCCTTATGAGACTGCTAAAGGATGCTGCCTTGTAACCTAATCAGCTGACAGAGCATTGCTGCACATGAAAGGCTCCAATCAGGCTCAAAGTCAGGTTGATTGTCCTTGAATATACAGAGGCATGAACTGCACTGTGAGACAACGTTAAAACAAAACTGCCATATGAGACCGCTAAAGGATGCTGCCTTGTAAGCTAATCAGCTGACAGGGTATTGCTGCACATGAAAGGCTCCAATCAGCCTCAAAGTCAGGTTGATTGTCCTTGAGTACAGAGGTATAAACTGCACTGTGAGACAATGTTCAAACAAAACTGCCATATGAGACCGCTAAAGGATGCTGCCTTGTAAGCTAATCAGATGACAAGGTATTGCTGCACATGAGAGGCTCCAATCAGGCCCAAAGTCAGGTTGATTGTCCTTGAGTACAGAGGCAGGGACGCGTCAGATTTAACTGCATTAGCGTAATGCCAAGGCTAAACGTTTGCTACATGACTGTACATGTATATGCCTGGTTGATTGGGTGAATCAGGTTATGGGATTTTCCAACAGTGAATTTTAATATGTTGCAAGATCGTGCAAGGCAATCTCGATTTTCTGCCCTCTGATAACCCTGATGAATCTGATGACGTTAGGCCACACCAATTTAATTTGTTGGTTCTCGGATTTTTTCAGAAAAAATATGAAGCGACAGGGCGAAAAAAAATAAAAATAAAAACAGGTCTAGGCATCCTATTATAGCCCCAAATGCTACAATATGAGCCATGAAGTCAATAAAAAAGGCTGGGTTAAAATTTAATCTATAAAGTATAAATTTTGAACATTTAATGAAACCACTGCATTGATAGATGGAAAAAACTGTAACAACTAGGAAGAAAAGGAATTTCCTCAACTGTTGGGGGCAAAATATGAGCATTTTTGAGTTGATTCAGAACCAGAATCTTTTTTGTTTTTTTTGCAAATCAGAAAAAAATGAAGAGGCGAATCCGAGAACCAACAAGTTAAATTGGTGTGGCCTTAACTTAAGGTAAAAAGAAAGATAAGCTTGTTTTTGTACACAATTTTGACAATAATTTTCCCCCTTTAAAATACACAATCTTTGTGCAAAAAGATGTCTCGTTTCATTATAATAGTAACTTCATGATAATAGTAATTGTTAACAAGTATATTTATTAGCAACTTGATACCGTGGGTGTGTTGTGAGATCTTGGAATATTTGCCACCATTTTCTTGTCACAATTTTTACTCTGATCTTTAATGGCAGCCACACTGCAAACGTACAATCGTATACTCCCTCCGGCCTTGCATTACCACGTTATTTCAAATGCAAACTTAAAACACCAGAAACAGCTCGATTCCTCTGCTTCTGCAAACTTCAAGAGACCCTAAACCAAGCCTGACGGCTTATCAAGCAGCCTCATGTGTTGAACAAGGGAGCCTCTAAGTCGAAGTAAGTAAGACACTAAATCAATTCACAGTATGGTTAACGTTGCCGATACATTGAAAGGGGGCATGCCTTTGATAAAAGGCCCTTTTTCCTGGGGTGGTGCACTCGATTCTCCTTTGTGTGTTCTTTTCTCTGCTTGGTTGCCAGATTTAAATAGTTCATAAAACATAGCCTGGCAGAAGAAGATGAAATCTTCTGCTCTCCACAACATAGTACAGGCTGTATTGACACCATGTTTGTACACAACAATTGAATGATTGGTTCTCGGATTTACGCAGAAAGCTAATCTGAAAGAAAAACTTACAATGATTGTACCAAGAGAAATAGACAGCAAAAGTCAAAAGGATTCAAACTCTCCTCCAAGCCTTACTTTTGATTTATTCTTATTTTGTCACCTCACTAGTACTCTTTTACTCTAAATTGCCTGAGTACCAAAGAAATTAATGGGTGTACTCCATCTTGGTGGTCTGGGTGTTACTGTTAGAAGTACAAACAAGCCGATAAATAAGCCGATCCTTTTCAAACACCGAGAGCAGAGCATCTGATAATCCCAACACTTAGAAGTGTCTCCTTTTAGCCCTGACCAAAGTCCATCCGTCAGACTCTGACTGTGTTTGAAGTGAACGTGTGGATCGACAGCAGACGTAAGCAGGAGTGGTGATCAGTGGGTGCAAACGACCGGACCAAATCCCCGACTGCCAATTCACAGCCACGTCCAATTGAGTGGTCATGAATACCTCATCATGCAAGGAACAGTACAAGGGGGAAGACAGATGGGTTGGCAATGGAAAAGATGGGAGGATTATATGATCAGAGAATGGACCAGAAATGGCAGAATGAAGAACAGAAAACCTAGCAGGGTGGAGAAAACTGGTTGTCGGATCATATTATGTGGTGCCCTAACTGTCAAATAATTAGACTAGTAAGGGATAGACAAGATATGTACAGATAGAAGGTCATCATCATCGGCAGAACATGTAGCTCTGTGTCACTGAGCATTCATGTTCACGTCAGAAAGGACCCTCAGTCCTCGGGGTGCCAATGCCGTAGGTGGCTGTACAAAATGTACATGGACATGAATGTACTTGTCAAGCACATACATTGTACCTGAGACATCACCCACAAAACTTTCCCCTCTGGAATTGTAACATTTTAGGGTAACCAGTGGTACAAATAGACTAGTAAAATAGACATATATTGTCCACAATAAATTTCAGCTCAGTAAAAAGTTCCTCTCCCAGTCAGACTACAAAAGGAAGTACAGATGTCAGTCATGTATAAAATTACTGTTATCTTTTAATGAACATTGAAGAAAACTATATAACCATGATGCCCCATTGAGTTTGACCTAACTCGGTTTATCCACAAATTGTGAGAAACAAAATTTAATGTAAATTCCCCCAAGTTGAAGCAAACCAGTCTCCTGCAATTTGTTTTGATCAGATACACAAATTGAACAGTGGATCACTGAGACTGTTCAGCATCCTTTCTCAAGGCATGTTCCCAGCTTGACAGCCATAATGATGAGAATGGGAGTAGAGTGAGTAAGAATGACCGATCCCTCTAGCTGCTTTAGAGCCAAGTTGAAGCAAATTCTGCTGTTTTTTTTCCAGATGCACGGACTAAACATTGAACCACTGAGACTGTTCAGCATCCTTTCTGAAGTCATGTGATCATCTTGACAGCCATAATGATGAGAATGGATACTGAGGGAGTTAGAATGACTGATCCCTCTAGCTGCTTTAGAGCCAAGTTGAAGCAAATTCTGCTGTTTTTTTTCTCCAGATACACAAATTGAACAGCAGACCACTGAGACTGTTCAGCATCCCTTCTCAAGGCCTGTTCCCAGCTTGACAGCCATAATGATGAGAATGGGAGTAGAGAGAGTTAGAGTGACTGATCCCTGCAGCTGCTTAAGAGCCACGGCCAAATGCAGGGCTGTGAGCGGATCATTAGTGAAGCTGTCAGGCACGACAAACCACCCACGCGCTGCGACCTTCGGAATTGGTCGCGGCCACTCCTACAAAATTAGTCGGTTCTTGGAGAAAGCGGTAAAAATATTCTAAGACATTGGATTATGAAGGCTGGATTGCTGGACTTGAAATTACACTCCCTGAAGCTGTGTGTATGTGTCACAGTGCAGATTTTCCCCTCAAAGGTTAATCTTCCAGGTTAGAATTTAACCGACCACCAACATGATAATCTTTCAGGTCAGCATTTGTCCTTTTTAAATTCAAATGCCAACAAACGTATTTGGTGTGGCCTTTGTGTGCTCCAGACAGACAGTGCTTAGATACAGAGGGAAAAGCAAACTATAGTCAGTGTGTTACACAATCTCTTGCTGCCAGGGGCTGATTAGTCCTGACCAGTGGGAGGGCTTCTAGAAGCTTGATTTCTGCGGGCTAAGCATACTAGAGCTAGAATAAGGCTAGATCTACAGTATGCTAAGTTAAAAAGAGGAAATGAAGAAATAAACTCACAGTCCAGCTTCTCGTCTAACGTCCCTCTTGACGTGATGGAGAGTGCACAGATGAATTCTTTAAATGTGATGTAACCGTCCTGAGGACGAACAGACAAAAACGGTCATTTTCTGACAGGAAAGCACAAAAAAGGGTTGTCAACACTCCTCTTTATATAGTCCTGCATCTAGACTGTCGAGGTCAAACGTACTGTCTAGGGGAGAAATACCAGTGTGCAAGTTGTTTAATTGTTAAAAGGTCTGTCACAGTTATTGAGGCCCAGACATGTGTTAACATTTTGATTACTACTGTATTTACACAAATCCAATGTTTTAAATGCATATCGTTTGACTGTATTGTCATTTGATCTGCACTTTTGTTTTCTTCCCAGTCCTCTATTGTAAACAAATGTGAATGAAATAAAATAAAATAGAAAAAGTAAGTTGTTTTCAGAGCCTGACAAGGAGTGGAGAGTTGACAACCCAACATGTACAAATGTAGGTACTACAAACCTAGTTACAGTTATGACTTATTAGCAGTAACATAAAACAACAAAAATATTTCCAACCACAACAACCCCATGCACAGCCTTTCATATCAGCAGCAACAGCTGGAACAGCAAGGGTGTGAAAGGGGTTTCAGCTATGCCACAATATTCTTGACAAATTCTTAAATTTCAATTGAATGAATCCGAGTGCCATAATTTATTGCTATATCAAATTTGATTGATTTTACGGCCTCACAGTGTCTTTCTAAAATAGAAGTGGCTGGTATTTTGATAAGGGAGACTTGAATCCCCCTTCCACACCCTCGAGGAAACAGATAAGTCGCGCCGACTGTAACAACAATATGGCATTTTCAGACGACAGCCCAGTTTAGCTGTTCTGTGCGTTTGTAACAAACTGCCCACAGCTGAACATACTTTGCACAGCATTCAAATATACACCCTTCAACACATCGCAAGCTTAGCAGAACCAAACCCAGCAAAAAATGCTTTTGGCTGTTGTTGTACAACCATTGCCAAGCCTGGAGGCATGGTCGCTGCATTTGTGCGCATTAGACCCACACTGCAATATCACATCATACGGCAGTTTTATGTATCCAGTTACAGTTAGGACATGCTGGGGGTAATTTGAACCAGGGGAATGCCCGGAAAACATGACATGTCTTGTCTGGGTCTTGTCAACGTCCAGCAAAAACTATTAGCTTGAAAAATTCTGGCAAACTTAATCATGAAACATGTAAAGAAAGCAGATACCGACAGTATCGTAATTCATGCTTTCAGAACTTCAATGACTGCATCAAGGTCAAAGATGGGGGAGGGGGGCATGCAACAGATACAAGGGAGAAACTGCTGGCTATTATTGAACCAAAAGCAATCAGATATGTCTAAACTACTGCTAGACTATAGTTACTGAAGTAGAAAATTAATGCATTATAAAAACATTTAATTTAGTAGATACAGACATAAATTATAGATACATTACTTTACAACATTCTTCTATCAGCCATTAAATAAAAGTCACATTACGTTAATTGACCTTTACTTGCTAATTTCATTGTTATAATATTTGCATGAAAATAACTTTAAAAAACAAAAAAGTGGCCTTGTCGTAAGTCGTGGTAAAGGTAAATTTTAATAGCAACATTGTCGTCATTTGGTCAAAAGGTCCTTATTTGGCCAATAGGAATCCATATTTGGTCAATTAGACATGTGTGCCTTATTTTGTCAGCGAGTCAAAAGAAAAAGAACAAAAAAGACTTTGGTTACGTCGGTGAAGGTTAGACATCCAGGTAATAAGATACGCCAAAAACAGTTACTCAAGCAACTGGATATGATTTCAGAAGTCTTTGGTTACTTTTGAGATGAGGATGTCTTGCAATAGTCAGTCTGTTACATGTGTAAGCTTTATAGAAGTTTCTTTATAATTTTCAGTCAGTTATAAATGAACATACTTTGTCAAGTATCTGGTAAGCCATGCACTCTTTTGGTCAATTGGTCGGATGAAATGTCCTGTCTAGTTATAAACATGAAGAATGTCCATATTTGTTGTCAGCTGTAAAGAGATGCCCATATACATGATGTATGGTATACATGTCAATATTTGGCAAGGGAGTAGGTTATGCAGAAACGTCAGATTTGATGTCACATCATGGTTGGTTAATGTGCAAGGGAAAATGCAGTGGACTTGGTTACTGTAAATTCATCTACTTTTGTGGTGGTTTTATTTTGGAGGTTTAAAATGGAGGTTTTTGCAGTGTTTTATATTCATGTTTGAATTCTGAAGTAGTACTAGTACAGTAGTCATATACAGGAGACATATTTATGTGCTAAGGTCACCACGGTAACATAAAAATAAAACCACCACAAAAGTTTCAATATTTACAGTACTTTGTAGTTAGTCCAATGAAAATGTAGCATCATCGCTTTGCTGGCAAGGCAACTGGGGGGGGGGCATCAAGGAACAACCGTTGTGCTGCAACCAGCCAGGCATTAGCTGCTTCAATCTGTCAGCCCTGGCCGTGTTTCCACGCCGAAACCCTTACCTTATTGATATCGAATACATTGAAGACAAAATTGGCAAACTTGGAGGCATCCCCATGGGGGAAAAACTGTTGGTAGATCGCGGTGAACTCCTGTGGGGAGAAAAACGACATGGAAACATTTGAGTTTACAGTCAGGAAAAAGAGAAGCAGCAGCCTACCTTGTTTGTATCAAACACATTGAAGACAAAATCAGCAAACTTTGTGGGATCTCCGTGAGGGAAAAATTGCTTGTAGATTGTTGTGAATTCCTGCAACACAAGATTTTTTAATCATGTTAAACTAGGTTCCAACAAAGCATTATACAGACAAAAAAGGACTGTAGGGGATTGTTGTGATAATATACCACAATGTTTTTCAGGTCAATGGTCACTCCAACTTCTTATCTGCTTTTTTGTATCTTCATTTAAATTTTCCCAACAAATTTTTTTTCAGGTTTTATTTTCAAACAATCCCCATAAATTCCTTAACCTTATGTTAGTCTTATTGTTAAAATACAGTGAAAGTCCAAACCTACCAGTTTTAGGAGACATACAATAATAGTGAAAATAAACTAGCAATAGCAACTCAGCATTTTTAAATAATTTCTATCTACATCCCCCCAAAAAACTTTTTTAGCTCAGGCTTTCAATATAGTCTAAAGCAAGAATTCTTAGTCGCTAGTACCACATAAAAGCTGACATTTATGGAATTAGACTGTTCCTAACTGAAAAAGAAGCATTAAAAATGCAATTGGACATCATGTTACCCAGGCAAAAGTTCAGAAATGAAATGGAAATGCAATGGAAAACTTTAGATATTAACAATGAAACTTTCAGCACCAAGGAGAGGTCCACTCGCCCTCAATACTAAAAACCATTGATGTACACATCCTAAAAATTCTAAATTAACACTTCTAAAGGCTAACATTGACATACAACTCATGTAGATCAACGGCCTCACAAATGCACTACAATTTAGAAAAAAAAATTATTCATGACCTCTTTGGCCGTTGGTTACAAAGCAGGTTTAACATTCAGGGAAGACAACCTATTCCAATTCTTGAACAAATCCCGGAAGGGAACACAATTAACAACACAGAACAGCTGGAGAACTGCAGAATTCCTGTCTCTGGTGTATCCAACAACCTACAGCAGAATTAGTTCACTCTTGGATTAGAAAAGAAGTATCTGTCTGGACTAGGAAATTAACATGAAAACAGTCTGAGGGGAAAGTCTGTACTTTGGTAGATACAGTTTATACAATTAATATTGTAATGCAGATACAAAGCACATGTTTTGAGCTGATCAAATGTCTGGACAAACTCAATTACTGTAAGGCTGCTGCCTCATTTACTCATAAACCTATAACGAGCTCACTAATTAGAGGTATGGATTCTTTCTGCAGATGGATATGGGTCGACATACAGGCTAGGGTCAACGACCCACTGGGCCCTGCAGGGTAGTTTGTGCTCAGACTTCAGGAAGTTGGAATAACACAAATATTGAGAAGAACTGACCACATATGCTGCTTTATTTTCATTTTCTTGGTTCCTTAAACAGAACACCCTAGAGGGACATGTCTGCAGCCGCCATGCATCTTCCCTGATGCTTGCCGTTGATTGATTGATTGATTGATTGATTTTGGGCAGGAAAATAAAATGAAGTGGGCAGGCAAAGGAAGAAAAATCCTGTCAATTTATGCATTCATAAGATGGATAAAATGTAAAGCTGGAAAGCAAGAACTTTCTTAAACCTTTTCAACCTCTTGGGGTTGATTCAGAAACTGATTTTTTGATTGTGTTTTTTTTATTTTGTCCAAGAACAAAGTTATTTTCTCTCATTTTCTCTGAGAAACAAGTCATTAAGCTAACACGGCCTCCAGTGTCCACCATGTCAAGAAAACGAGAGAAGATCTACAGCCCCCCACGTTACCTGCCGTCCCCTGAAGGATCGCGGCCGGCTCCGAGGGTTGATTGCTTTTTGTCTAAGTGGTTTGAGGTTGGAAATGTCACGGCAGAACAGAGGGGATCACCGTCCAGGGTTGGCCAGCCGACACAGACGTGTCAGAACATGCAATTATGTAATATCTACTTCACTCATGGTGGGGGGCATCGGGGGTTATCTGGAACTGCTAAGTAGCCTGAAGGATGCGTCTGTGTGGGTAGAAAAGCTTAACACACCTGGAAGATGTGCAACCATGACGTTATGTTTTCTTGAGTCTCGAGAATTAGTTGTTGGTAGCACTTAAGAGGTTTTAGAAATACGTAGATATAGATTAAAGGATTCCTCATAGTGTTAAGTCAGAGCATTGATTTTGTAGTCTTCCTTATGGTGTTAAGTTATAGCATTAATTTTGCAGCAAACATCTTCTATGGTGATAAAGCCTTATTCTACCAATTTTATCTGTGACATATCTGAAACAAGTAGAGGAGGACCTTGATTTTCATAATGAAACAATCAAGCTGCTCTCCAACTCAAAAAATTAAACTCATCAGAATTTTTGAATGATGCGACTTTCTGCACTTTTCAGTTGAAGAACAGTCTAATTATTCAATAATGTAATTTACCAACTCAGACGAGCTTTCATTCTAAAAGTTGATTTTCGATATTACTCAAGCAGTCATGGACTTGGCAGGTCATCAAATATGACGGATTGGACATTTTGCGGTTGTGTCAATATGTAATATCCCAGACTCTGGCACTAATCAAGACAGGGATTCCCACAGGAACTGTGCAGGTCATTATTTCTGGGGCACAATTTTGCACCACAGGGCTAGAAACCCTTTAGAAATTTCTTTGTTATTGTTGCAAGTTCGTATTTTTGTATGGAAGAATTCTATGTAACTTAGATATCTGCTTTATCTGTTTTGTCAAAAATATGTGACATTATCAAGGTTCATTTTGCATCAAATGGTGTGATAAACATGCCATTGCCATAAACTGTTGTGCAACAGTTGAGTTTGAAAATGTCACGCCAAAATTCCGACAGTCATCCTGACTGCAGGGGTTCAGCTCCAGCGGGGATATGCTCGTAAAACGTGTCGAAATCCTCCATATTTACCCAAATTTACGGCTCTCCTGGCAAAGCCCCAAAGCGAGGAAGTGCCAAATAAAAACTCCAACCATAATCACCATAGCTTAGAGGAACTCAGGAATATGAAAGAAGCAGTAAAATGTGTCCATGTCCAATTTTGAGGTACTTTGCAAAATCTAAGACTGCCTAGCCAATTTCTTGTGACGAGAAATGCCATCGGCGCCTGTTATAACATTACACCACATACAGGCTCACAGGAACAACGACCCCACCTGACCTATCATAGATGAGACTATGACCTTTTCTTAGATTACATGTAAAGGGCCATGACTCCAGGTTATTCCATTAGAGAGAAGGGGGGAAGATACAAAACATTTTTGATTTTACACAATGTCATCAATGGGCCTGTGGAAAGGGGGGGGGCAAAAGAATTTAATTAACCAATATATATATAATCAGTTTTCTTTCTCCTAGAACCAATCACTTGAGCCACATCGTCAATTACATTATTGTATATCACATCTGAGGCTACCCTGGGCCATTCTTAGCCTGAGTGTCAGCCTTGTTAGCTTTCGTCCGCTCCCTAAGATCCGCTCCCCGTCAACAACTTGTTGGCGGGGAGCGGATCTTGGGGAGTGGACGAAAGCTAACAAGGCTGACACTCAGGCTAGGCCATTCTTCCACATCAGTCAAATTTTCAGTACATAGGGCAATAGCCAATACCCATCCCTGATTTCATAGCCCTTGGCCACACAGTTGTCAGGACAAGAACTTTAGCCCACTGGTAGTGGTGTGTGTTCATCTACCACAATCTACATTAAAGTACATTGTACATGTGCATTATAATGATTATTATATTACCATTATGGGGACTACCATTTCTTAAGTGTTTGATAGGACCTTCAAATTATAAAGAAAGTACCCTACCAGTGCCCACTTTGTGATTGCTATGCAGCACTGAACACAATATTGTACAAATGTGGCCCTGGTGAACACTATGCACTCTCTACTGAGTTAGATAATGTATCAGATTATAAATCAGCACCAAAAACAAATGGCAACAGCCAAATCTTCCCCTTGTATCAGGTCCCAGGGAACATCTCAGTCCCTGTGATGTACCATTCTTATGGTCTCCAAATCTCACTGTTCCAGAGGACATACATGTGTGGGGTTTTGATAAGAAAACTTCTGAGATGATTCCTTTTCCTTTTACACTGAACGTTTGACACTGTAAGTTGTGGTCTTCAATAATGCTACTCTCCTCTGAACATCACAGAACCCACACATAACAGAAAATGGGGACTATTTTGTTTTCCACTGTTTCAGTTGACCCAACATGTTTTAATTTAGTGTCAGCCATTAGACTACAGTAAGACTACATGTACTAAGTCATGTGTTTATATAATTGTTCTTCATTATTTGACTGTCTTGTTTGTGCTTGCAAATAGCCTTCAGGCAAGAATTTGCAATAACCTTAATGTTCTTGCTAATAATATGTTCTGTTAACTCATTAATTTGTACTTGTAAATTGTAGCAAATAATAAAAAAAATTACCATTACAATACAATTACATTGCAGTGACAAACAGTACATTCACCAGCATAATATAACATGGCCCAGCCTACCTTGTAAACGTAAGTAATTACAATTTTTACTACAGAATCATACTTACTCGTAGAGTTGGCTGTCAAATATTGTTTAATATTTACAAACTGTTCTGTCTGTCCTTTTTTTAGGTTGATATGTGCACTCAGGTGCCAAAAAAAGTGTGTAATATGCAGCCAGAATTTTGAGCCTTGTCATGCCATACCTTTTTGTTTGAAACATTCAAAAGAACTCCTTGGAATAAATGAGAGAAAGTGACCGTGGCTGACCCTGTGAGATCTAAGTTCCACTTGCGTGCTGCTCCCAGCCGGCACTTAAGGCTGTGGCTATGAATAATTAAGATGGTGGCTTTATGTGCCGTTGTTTGCAGATTACTAGTCATTACTTAAACAGGCTCACGATACTTAACGCACGTCAAAACAACCTCCGGGCCTGCACAAGGCAGTTTTGTCCTCCCCCACAAGATGAGAAACAAAAACTTACTGAATCTTTATTCTAAAACAGCTGGAAGTTTTTACATTATTTTAAAGCCGAACGTCCATGTATCAACTACACCAAAACTACATGTAAGAATATGAATATTTGATATTGAAAAAAAGGTATGAGAAGTTAATACATGTCTGTACATATC